TTTGGTGGTTATAGTGTTGAAGGAAGCCACAAATGTGTCCGAGCCCATGGATCCATCGCTGGGGCAATAGGATGAACCGCAGAAATTCTATTGTGGCGGAGTGAGTATTGAACTGGTATAGTCAAATATGTATTTGCTTCGTTAGGCCAATCTCAAATACCAAACATACAAGGTGCAAATAGTGGAGACGTGAAAAGAGGTGTTCAGAGTAGGTGTTTTTCTAATAAAAAGGCAATATGTTAAGGAGTGTGCTAACGTCTAGACGTCCGGACCATAGCAAGAGATCCGGACAATTGGACGAAGGTATTGTCGCTCGGGCTGGTGTTGCCGTGTGTTGATTTCTTTTTTAGTAAAAAACAAACACATCCAGTCTAATCTTTTCCCTATAGCTCCATGCATGCATATTGAACAAAACTGCTTATGTCACCCAAGATTCCATCAAATTGTAAACTTTAAAATGTTTGTAGGACAAACCGTCCCTCCGATTGAATAGTTGGTTCCACATAAAAGATTCGTCGTGACAAAACCTTCGAAACTAGATCCCATGTTGATATGTTCCGACGAAATTTTTTTCTGGATCAAAATTTACCACACATGTGGTACGTAAGTTATCACGACTGTGACATGCAGTTACCAAGCTATTTTTCTAGGAAATACCGAGCATAAAAAGATGGTCTTCCAGCTTTACCAAGATGGTCATCCTAGATGGCAGGATTTTAGCGACAGGTGCGGATGATTGCCTACATCCTCACATCTCGGTGCAATTTCGCATGCAGCGTTGCGCTGCAATCTCACATGCACATCTCTTTGATTTGCATGAAGTGCACGTCCTATTGAACCCAATTAACAACGAAACTATTGGGCAGACGACGAGCGCCAGCCGAACTATGCACGATGCAAGATTGAACGGCTCTATCAACTTTTGCCTGGTGCATGGACGACTTGATACGCACTATCGTCTGCAAGTCGTCCAACATATGTCGTGTGTGTAGCAGCATTCATTAACAATGCATGCATGTAGATAAGTAAGAAGGTGATGTCGGCAAAAATTCCATTCAAAATAAACTTCAAAATGTTTTGTAGCTCAAATCATTGGCCCGATTGAAAAACCGTTTTCACACAAAAGATTTGTTGCAACGAGACTTTCAAAACTAGATCCCATGTTCGTATGTTTCGATGACATTTTTTTGGGTCAAAAGTTACCACACTTAGACTAAATAAGTTATCACCTACGTGGTATGCCTGTTACCATCCTGTTTACATAGAAATTACCCGGGGCATAAAAATGGCTCCTCCAACATTCTCTCCGCATGCAAATGCAGTAGAGCACAGAAACCTAATGTCATTGTAAATTCTCGCTATTTCGAAACTGTAAAATGTTTTATAGCTCAAACTGTCATTTTTGATTCAAAAATCGTTTTCACATAAAAAATCCATCGCGATGAGAACTTCGAAACTTGATCTCATGTTGGCATGTTTTGATCACTTTTTTGGTCAAAATTTACCATAAAGTTATCATTTATGTTATATGTATACTAACATGTTATTTATGCAGAAGTGACCGGAGATGTGTTTTGAACGACTTCTTTCCTCTGGGTTAAATTTACCGTGGTATTTATAGCTAAGTTATCAGCTTTGGATGCATAAATTACCGCGCTATTTGCACAAAAATAATCGGGGTACGATTCAATAACTTTTTATTCGGGTCTAAACTTACCACGTTGTTTATACCTAAGCTATCAGGTCTATGATGTGTGAGTTATCATATTATTGATAAAAAAAGTTACCGGAAGTATATTTCATCAACAACCCTCCCGCACCTCTCACCACCGTCGCCAAATTTATCGGGATTGGGCCACATAAGTTATCAGGTATGCGGTGTATGAGTTATCATGTTATTCATACGAAAAGTTACCAAAGGGTATATTTCATCAACCACCCTCCTCCCACCCGGTCACCAAAGTTATCAGGACTGGGGCACATAGGTTATCGGGTATGCGATGTGTGAGTTATCATGTTATTCGTACAAAAAGTTATCAAGGTTATTTTTCATCAGACAGCTGCCTCCCACCCGGTCACCAAATTTACCAAGACCGGGGTACATTAGTTATTCGGCCTACGATGTGTGAGTTACCGTGCTATGCACATAAAAGGTACGGGGGGTATATTTCATCACCCGTCCCTCGCGAAAAGTATCAGGACCAGGTGCATAAATTATCAGGTCAATGATGTGTGAGTTACCATGCTATTAACAAAAAAGTTACCGGAGGTATATTTCATCAACAACCCTCCCCCACCCCTCACCACCGTCGCCAAAGTTATCAGGACTAGGGCACATAAGTTATCAGGTATGCGATGTGTGAGTTATCATGTTATTCATACAAAAATTTATCAAGGGTATATTTCATCAACCACCCTCCTCCCATCCAGTCACCAAATTTGTCAAAACTGCGGTACATTAGTTATTAGGTCTACGATGTGTGAGTTACCGTGCTATGGACATAAAATTTACGAGGGGTATATTTCATCACCCATCCCTCACGAAACGTACCAGGACTAGGGTGCATAAGTTATTGGGTCTGTG